TAAAACAGCCTTTGGAGAGAGAGGAAGTCATATGTCTGTATTTGTTTGTGATGCTGCAAATGTTCTGCTCTGCCCTGGGGCTTACTTAAAGCCTCTAAAATTGTGTGAAAGTGAAGGAAAATTGGTAAGCAGTGTAGGAGAGCCACTTGGAACTCTTTGATTTGTTGGCTTCCTCTGTTGGAGAAACACATGTCTTGGTTGGAAGCAACTTGAACAGTGAAAGACTTCAGGGCGGCTTCCACCAGTTATCCTGGAAGAACCTGTTGAGCCCAGAGAAGAAAATCACTACTGTTTTCCAGGGTTATGTGACATGGGATGAAGAACTGAAGACCCATTACAGCCAAGATAGCTGTGAAATCAAATCTTAATGTGATGGGAATGAGATATATAACTTAGAGGGGATGGTAGGAGGTGGAGGGTGGCAGGAAGGGAGAGATAAGCAGGAAGAATGGGAGGAGGGATGTAAGGGTTTACTGAAAACAGACCACACTCAATTTAAAGGGTGGAATATATTGGAGCGCCGACAATCCAAAAAGAAGGAAGAAGGGTGGGCTGGGGTCCCCATCCTCAAATAGCTTTATACTGGAGCTAATTAAATGTGAATCTCTTAGTTCTTGGTTCACTGATGTGAGGAAAGACTGACTGAGGAGTTTCAGCTTTTAAAGGGGGTTCTGTTTATATATACGTCAGCATTCAGTTGGAGGTGAAAAGGTTAGCACTTGACCCAGGAAGTACCCATGTTTGTTTCAAAAATAGAACTGCTTTATAAAATTCTTCACCATTTTTTCCATTATGAACTTTGATTATAATAAGGGGACTACTGTCATTTTAAAGAAAATCAACCTATGATAGACATTGGTTAGGTGCAATTACCCTCTTAGGGGAAGCTTCAATTACATAGTGGAAAGCACTTTTTTTTTTTTTCAAAGAAAAGTCCCATCTCTTTGAAAATGCACACCGTCCTTCTCTCCTTCCCCACACAAAATGACTCAACTTTGTAAGAACCAACAAACTGTAGCCAAGCCAAATACACGGATCCTTAAGCATACCTGAAACTTGAATATATTTATTACAGACATCTTAAGACCCGTAAACTCTGCTCTGGATCACATCACTCCAGGATCTCAGAGCTGTTCATGATTGTACAGGAAATGGGGAATATTGTAGGCTCACAAAGGATAACTGATAGAACTCAGTGTGGTACTTCAGGGACACCAAAACATTGTGCGACATGCAAAAGACTATTCACGAATCACACAAAATATACATTCATTGTGCCATCCATCACATTAATAATTGAGCTGAAAATACATCCTAGCCAGCTACGATAACTGAGGAAGGAAGAGGCTGGTTTGACTAATACCTTTAGGTTCTGAATAATCCAGCACGAAGTTTAAATAGAGTGTGGCCAGAGAAACAAGAAAGGGGTTGGGGATGGGGAGAGACTGAAGCACAGGCAGCAAGGTTTCTGAACCTTGTGGTCTGCAGGCCTTCTTAACTCACTGAAAGAACAAATTGAGGCTACCCTCCGAGGCATCTGATTGAGTTTAAATGAGGGCTTTTATTTTTAACCTATCATCACATATAAAATTGTACCAGCTTTGAGAGTTTGCCCACCCTGTTTGAATCACTTAATCTAAACATTTCTAGAAAATCTGTATAAAGATAAATCTCTCAGGACAAAGTATTTACAACCAGCAAACTCACACACAAGAATGAATTAAATTAAAAGGTGAATTCATTGTGTAAACATGCCCATAGTGCATCTCTTCTCATGAGCTCCTGGACTCTCTCCTTTCTCTTTACCCCACTTTGAGGACAAAGTAGGGGAGTTCTGTAAATCTACAGATAGATAAAAGATGGGAGGCCTCCCTTTGGCATGTTTCTGCTGGCAAAGGAGACAATTCTCCAAAGGGCATCTAAAAGGAACAGTAGGTTCTGTGGAAATCTCCTAAAAGTAGGGGCCCTCAGAAAATTGGTGCGGGCACCCCATCTGCATTAAGAAGTTAACACACACACCCCTCCCTCCCCAATCAAGCATCTAGTCCAGAATTCTCAGTAAACACATTATCCTGCCCAGGAGCGTCCCAGATAGGATCAGAAAGAAAGAGAGAGACTGCAAATGGAAAGGAAGATAAGCTAAGAATGTGCTTTGAGTAAGAAGTCCCAGCCGGAGGAGTCAGAAGCCTGGGCCGCAGAGTGGAGTTTGGGGCTGGGCGGGCCTCAGTGGGAGGTAGTCAGAGTGTCGGAGGTAGAGGACCCCGGGGAAGGAACGCAGGGCGACGAGCTGGACTTCTCTGAGGACTCCTCGGCCTTCTCCTCGCTTCCCGGCGGGGTGGCGGGAGAGATGGGCAGGAGGCCCTCCTTCTCTCGTTTCTTCTGCTTCATTCGGCGGTTCTGGAACCAGATCTTCACCTGGGTCTCGTTGAGTTGCAGGGACGCGGCGATCTCCACCCGGCGGGCGCGCGTCAGGTACTTGTTGAAGTGAAACTCCTTCTCCAGCTCCGTGAGCTGCTTGGTGGTGAAGTTGGTGCGCACTGCGTTGGGTTGCCCGGCGTAGCCGTACTCTCCAACTTTCCCTGCGGGGGAAGCGATGAGAGAAAAAGGTAAATATTTAACAATCCATAGGAGAGCCCCTGTAGGTTCAGAGCAATATTCAGGTAAGGGGGAGATCGAGAATTTCTCCACACACCCCGGGCTGGGGAGGGTGAGTGATGAGGTGTAAAGTGTTCATCTGAAGTCAACCATTAGTGTGGTCAGACCGGTGATGAATGGAGCCCAGAGATATTACCAGCACAGCCCCACGCACGCACACCTACCCACTTCCTACTTCCAGAATCTCTCCATCTCAGCCCCTCTGCAAACACCACATTCCCAGGGGCTCCTTCGCCTCAACACACACCTGGGCAATCCCCCAATGCCCTACAACACCGGTGGGGAGCAAGTATTTTTAAAAGACAATTTATTAATTGTCCTTGGAAACTAAGCATACTAACTCCTTCCAGAATCATCACGGAGCATCCGCGGAATGGCAAGACTGACCTGTTTTGGGAGGGTTTCTTTTGACTTTCATCCAGTCAAAGGTCTGCGCTGGAGAAGAGGTCTCTGGTGCCGGGGAGCGACAGGCTTCTTGGTGGCTGGCGTGGAGAGGGGACAAGGAGTTATTATACGTGGCCAGGGCCAGGCTCTGGTGCTCTTGTCCATATGAGTGGTGAATGTACTGAGGCGATCCCACCGCGCCCCCGGCATAACCCTGGTGGTGGTGGTGATGTTGGACCATGGGAGATGAGAGGTTTCCAGAGTAAACAGCGGGAGCGCACGAGGGGTACCCCCCACTTACTTCTGCTTCCTGATTTAACGTGTACGGGCTGTAAGGCGCGCCGAAGTTCTGCGCGCCGTAGCTTGGACCACAACTCGAGTGGGGGTAGGACACCCCCAGGTTCCCAGGAGTCTGGTAGGTGGCCGGCTGGGGGTGGTGATGGTGGTGGTGGTGGTGGGGCGAGTTGATCTGCACCCCCCTGCCCACTAGGAAGCGGTCGTCGCCGCCACAGCTGTTGGCACTGACCGCGCACGACTGGAAAGTTGTAATTCCATGGTCTGCGGGATAGGCTCGCGCGGAGCAGGTCCCCGAGTCGCCCCCGCTGAGGATGGGGTATTCCAGGAAGGAGCTCAGTCTTGCATTGTCCATCTGTCACTGAGTGACCGGGTCCTGCGAAGCCCTAGGTGACCGTGCCAACTTTCTCACTTCCTCCATGGGGCCGGAGAGGAAAAATGATATGAATGTACAGTGCGCAGGAGGGGGGGGGGGCGGGAGGGCGGAGGGCGCTGCGAGCGGCACGTGACGGCGGCAGCCAATGGCGGAGCCTCCTGCGAAAGTTTGCTGGCTCCCGCGGTGATGGATCACCGTTTCAGTGGCATTTAAATCCCCGGCGCTCCTCTGTCCGGGTGACGCGCAGTCGCCCCCCCAGGCAGCCCGGGCGGCGGCCGCAGCGGCGGTGGCTGCGAGGGCAGATCCCGAGCGCTGGGGCGAAGGGGAGCACAGGCTGCCTTTTGCGCGCCGGCTCGCTCGCCCCCCCTCCGGGAGGTGGGGGCTGGGAAGCACCCCCTCCCTTCCTGTGTCCGCCCCCCTCCCCGCCGCGCACAGAAAAAGGAACTGACGAGAGGTGAGAAGGGAAGAGGGCTCCGCGCCCTCCCGGGTGGGGACTCAGGGGGAGGGAGCTCGGGTCGCGCCGAGCAGGAAGGGCAGGATCCCAGCCGGCATCGCAGTCCCTGCTGCGGTGCCTCGGGGCGGTGAGGGGCGCAGAGCCCGTGGCCTAGGACTGGGCTGGGCCACCAGCTCTCCAGGCCCCAATGAAGAGGAGAGTTCCCAGGGGGCTGGCTTGGAGGAACCGGTGGGGGTGGAGGGGACATGGGCAAGAAAAGAAACTTCCCTTCTCCGTGAGGGTCTGGGAAGCCCCCTCCCTCCACCCACCTCCCCCACACTGAGCCTGGGAGCCGCACCGGAGCTTCTGTAATTTGATGCCCCGCAGCCGGGGGAGCCCGCGGAGCCGAGGCGGCCGAAGAAGGCCGGGGCTGGCGGGGCTCACCGCCCGCCCTCTCTCCTCGCTCTCCGCCCCTTTCTCCTCCCCACTCAGCTCTGCTCTGGGAGCCAGCCCTACGGGATCCCGAGCAGCGCGGCCGCTGGATTTTGAGGGGAAGGAGGCGGGGGAGAGAGATGACGCGAGCAGACGTGGCCTGCGTGGGGGCCGGGCCGTGCGCTGCAGGCCATCTGCCGGCCCCGCTGGACCCAGGAGCCTGCGCTTTGGGTGGGGGCCTCAAAGGCGGGATCACAGCTCCCACAAAGTACGCTGACTCCCCCCCCCCCCTCCGTTTCTCGCTTTCTTAGGGAGGGACGTTAGGAGTTGGTAGAGCTTCCTTTATTCAGCTCCCCCCCCCCCCCCTATTCTACAGCACGTCTGTAGTGGGGATGTGGGCTGGCAGGTGGGAGGGGCGGCGGACAGATGGCTGACGGTAAATGGGACATTTTCTTCTCCCAACACCACCTCCTCCGCTTGGTAACTGACTGCGTAGTTAGTTCCTTGTGTGAACCTCCGAGTCTTTCCCTAGAGAGACGAGTGCAGCTCTGAGCGTCATCCCAGGCCAGGGGTCCTGTTCTCCATCACTCCCATCCTACCCTGATGCTGACGGGTCGTTAATTGCTGTTTACTATTAGGTTTCGTGTCAACCCTTGGCTTGTAGAGAGAAAGGGCCAAGCAGAGGCCGCGAATTGATGCATTCTTAGGCGAAAGAAATCCAGAGGGCATCCGGGACGCTTTGCAGCCACTGATGTATAGGTTTTTACTCTGACCATGTTTGCCTCACCAGAGCCCGACAGATAAAAATTATCTGAGGCGTGGATGTGGGGTCCCACGCCCCTCTAGCTTCCCCTCCCCGGCTAGAAGAAGGAAGTTTTGCTTAAGGCAGGCACATTTCAAAGGTGTTAGTGAACCTTTCAGGTTTCTGCGTTCTGTTCTCCACATACAGAGGTTTCCCCAAAACCTGTCCCCCCAGAAGGGAACACTTGCGGACATTTGACTATGGACTCCCTTCAGTAGCAAAGAAACATTTCCCCTAAACATTTCCTTTGGAAAAGGTATTTTCATGTGGCCTTTGACCCATCCCCAATCGCCGTTAAGAGGGCGCTCAGGCAGGCGAAGTCACTCCTGCCCCATTTCAGCACCAGGGGAACGTCATCCTGGAGGAGGGATAGGCAAGGCGGCCCTCCTGGAGGAGGCTTCCTTGGTAGCGCCAAGGCCTCCGGCGCTGGGGAGGGAAGGGGCTCCGGTGGGGGAGGAGGCGGGACTGAGGGGGGTTGTGCTGGCTTTGCGCGGGTGTTCTGCTCTCCCAGCCGAAGCTCCAAGCTCTTGGGTACCTTCTGCCCCTTGGCCCCCTCTCTGCGCCTTTGCTGGCCTCCAAGGCCTCGGGTTGACGCGACCCCCTGGGCCGCAGGGCTTGTGCCACAAAGCCATCCCGGGAACCACCGGTCTCCTCCTTCTGCGAGCTCTCTGCTCCACGCCCCTCTCTCCCTCCCTGCGCGGCACTTCGCAGGGCCAGCAGGGGTGGGTGCATGTCTTGGCACCGCAGGCTGGCACTGGCACACGGGCAGGCACGCGAGCGGGCGGCCCACCCGCCTCCGCGCACAGCCCCACGCAGGCCCGGCTCCCGCAGCCCCGCCGGCTCCGCCCCGGCTGCCGCCCTGCGCGCTCCTCTCCCCGGAGCTGCTCACAAAGACGGCCTCCCTGGCCCCGAGCCCGCAGGCTTCCGTAGCTCCGGCCCTTCCCCACCCCCACAAAGTCCTGGGGCGCCTTCCGCCGGCGGCGAGACCCTCGGTCCTCCCGGCAAGTAGCCGGCGCCCCCGGACTCGGACTCGAGCGAAGGTCCCTGTGAACGCCCAGGGAGAGAGGGTGCCAGGCGAGTTCGGTCGCTATTTAAAGGACCGCCGGCCAGCGGCTCCAAGCGCCTCTTTCGGGCTCTTCCACTCGGAAGGGAAGGAGCGAGGAGCAGGCCAAACGCCGCCCGCCGAGGCCGCGAGCTGCTCACGGCACCCGCGGCTCAGCCAAGCCGTTGTTTTAAACGAGCAATAAAAATGAATTATGACTAAACGCCTTCTAACTTAATGCTTTCGGACGGGGATCCCCGGCAAATACGTAAGAGGATTTTTATTTGTGCATGTGTTCCTGCAATTGATCTCTTTGATGACATTCTCATTCATAGAAAGCGTTTGATTTATGAGCGTAGGACGAATCGCAACCAGCAGAGGCTCAGCCCTGGCCGCTGCCGGGCAGCCCCGCGCCGCGCCGCGCGGACGGCAGGAAACCCGCCGGGGTCCTCGCCAGCCTCCGCCGCCACCGGGATTTAGGAGGCAACAGGGTGGGGGAAGGTAGGGAGCAAACCCCCGGAGAAAGATCCCGATTTCATCATAATTTACAAGCCTGCGCTCTTAGGAGCCGGGCTCTTAAACCAACCCGCCCCCACACATGTTGCTCTGCGTTTTCTCACGGTGAGGAGCCGCCTGCACCGAGCTCGGGAAGAGAAGCACAGACGTGGGGAGACATGAGCCGGGGGGCAACAGAACCACCCAGGAACACACCCCCGTTCACATTTTATTGATATTTCATTGAAAGTGCTTGTACGCTTTCTCTCTCTAGACTACTTAATTGATAACCTAGGGTGCAGAAACACTTGGTTTTCCATCTCAACTTGCTAACCTGACTTCAAAGCTTTAATGCCCCATTATTTGCCATATAAACAGATTTAAGAATGAAATATTGATTTTTCTGACCCTGAAAAAAATAATAAAAAGAATCCTCGAATGACTGAACCAGAGGGCTGGAAAGAAGCCTTTCTGAAGTGTGTTTTCCAGCCAGTGACCATCATTTTTTTTATGTTGTTGTTGTTTTTTTCTCCCCCCTCTGTCTTTTAGGACTGTTTGCTGGACCCATCCACAGCTGGGAGACTAATCAGCCATACTGAAAATGTTCGACATTGGTGGGGGAGGGGTGGGATGTAGCTGTTTGAAACAAACGTGTATAAATAAATGAATTGTTGACCTGGAGATTGGTAGCTTGTTCAAGAAAGCCTATGTCCCTGGAGTTGGGGGTTTCTGTAGGCACTTTATTGCTCCACTTTCAAAAGCTTGGGCTGGGCCCAACTCTGAGGCTTCCTCATCCTGTTTCTATGACCAAGTTACATCTATGGCTTGAACCTCTACAATGAAAAAACAAATCCATTCCCCTGAAAGAAAGAAAGAAAGAAAGAAAGAAAGAAAGAAAGAAAGAAAGAAAGAAAGACTTCTCAGATGCCCTAACCATTTTCTGGATTTCTTTTCTGATGCCGTCTATTGAAAATTTTGAACATGCCCCCTTAATAAATATATTAAAATTGAAAAAGAAGATGAATTGTGACCAGAATTTTATTTACCAAGTTAGACTAAAAGGAGAAAAAGAAACCATTAGGAGCTTTGAGAAAGGGGGGGAGAAAAAAAAAAAGAAAGCTGCTTATAGCAAAGGAGAATTTATTCTACCAAAAATACGCATGACAATGCATCCTAATGTAATACAAAAATAAAAAGAAAGTGAAGATACAGTTGTATGGTCACTTTCCTGCAGGCCTCATATATTGCTTTCAGTAAATCACAGAGGGGGTTTTGGATTAGATTTAAAACAACTAAAACTCCAAAGTAACCTGTAAAAGACGCCTCTGAGACTGGGTCAGGGGACTTGCTAAACAGAAAATCTCCAACATTTAGAGGAGGAAGAGGGTAAAAAATAAAATAAAAATCAACTCTCAGAATAAAAGAAGGCCAAACCACCTGGTCAAAGGGGTTTTTGTTTTGTGATGCTTTGTTTTGCTTTAATGTTTTTAGTAATTCAGATGCTGCAAGTCAATTGTGGTGAGTGTGTCTGTGAAAAAGTCAAAGCTGTCAGCTGAAATATCTACAGGGCTGTCGAGGGAACCTGGCAAGCTGGGCGAGACTGCATCTGAAAGCTGCAGGCAGGAATCTGTGGAGAAAACGCTGAAGTCCTGCAAAGAGGGGACCTCGAGGGCCTCGGGACTGTCATTGTTTAGGCCCGAGCCACAGTTCTGGCCCATTGTTGACAAGTAGTTGGGAACAGTGGGTGACTGGTGCTGAAAATGTTTCAGATTTTTCTCATTGCTGGTTAAAGGCGAAACGGGGAAACTCGGGGAGTCGCCATTGTGTCCGTTGGGAGCCTGCTGCTGGGAGAGGGCGTTCTGCTGGAAAGTGTAGCCTTCCCTCTCCAGAAGGGCCCCCGAGACGCCCAGGGCTTGCTCGAAGAGCGACTTCTCCTCCTCGTCCTCCTCCACCTTCTCCGAGTCCTCCAGGCTTTTGAATTTCCCCTCGCTGTGCTGGTTCTCCTTGCACTGGGTCTGCCTCTTGTGCTTCATCCTGCGGTTCTGAAACCACACTTTCACTTGTCTCTCAGTCAGATCCAGCAGCGCCGCGATTTCCACCCTCCGGGGTCTGCAGAGGTACTTGTTGAAATGAAATTCTTTCTCCAGTTCCAAAAGCTGCGTGTTGGTGTACGCCGTCCTCAGGCGCCGGGAGCCCCCTCCGCTGCCATCGGCCACTTCCAGGGACTCTGCGGAAAGGGAAACCAACGAGAGACACGCGCACAGTTGGAGGCGGAGGGGTCCGAGTGGGGTTAGTCCACTGGAGAATAAATATAGCAGAAAAGATCAACGGCAACAAAATGGCCGCCCCTGGATGCAGCAGAGCTATTGTGCTGCCTTTCCTGGGAGCCCAGCCCGGGGACACCCCATCTCTCCCACCTCCGCCCGATTCCTGCCTGCAGCTCCCCCCAACCTCTCCATCCGGGAGCAAACTTTATATTAGCCACACCACAATTTATAATTAATGCATCAGCTGCTTAGCTGAGCAAGAGCGATCTATCACTCTTCATTACTGTCAAAAAGCCAAACTCTAGGACAACTAGACAAGAGGAGGTCAGTTCCAACTCAAATAAATCATCCCACATTACACAAGTTAGGGAAAGTTCCTCCCCCCTTCTTAAAAATATATATGTCTCCTTGCGGAGCGCAGGATGCCTCTTCTCTTCCATCAAACCCACTCCTGAGCCCACAGAGGAAGGGAAGGCAGCCAAGCATCTCCTCCTTCTCTCCCAGCCCACGTTCCCCTCCCCCCAGAACCGCTCCCCGGGCAGCCCCGGCGGGGAGCGGGGTCCCGGGACTGGGGGCCAGGTCTGTGCACTGACCTTTGTGGCCGAGGCAGGCAGGGCCGGCGGCGGCGGCGGCGGCGGCGGTGGCCGAGGCGGGCGGCAGCGCGGTTTTCTTGGCCGCCTTCTTCTCCTTCATCCAGGGGTACTCGGGCGGCTGCAGGGCGCCGGCGGGCCCTGGGCTGCCGCGGCTGCCCGCGGGGCTCGGCTTGGGGCGGCCGCCGGCGCCGTGGCGAGGGTGACTGCCCGGGTTCAGGCTGGGAATGGTCTGCTCAAAAGGAGGAGGAATCAGTGTCGAGTGTGAAAGCGTCGAGGTCTTGATTGATGAACTTTGAAATGTATCAGCGACAGGGGGAAAAGATGTCAGGCACTCAGCGAGCGACGGCTGGCTATTGATAAAACCAATCTCTCGCTCAAATTCGTAATTCATGGCCTTCTGCTTGGAGCCCCCTCGGAGAAAAAGTTCCCTCTTCTGGAGGGGCTTTGGGGGGGCGAGGCCCGGGAAAAAGGCGAGTGCGGAGGGGAAAAAAAATCTATCATAGAAGATCGCTGCTGGGGTGTTTTTTTTCTAATTCACTGATTACAGCCGTATGGGGACCGCGCTACTATTAAACTATTGAATTCATGGAGACAAGGTTGAAATTGGACCGAATTGGCTGTCACATGATTGCTTCTGCCCAATGACAATTTGGGCTTTAATCAAAAGAAGCCACTGTCTGTTTGATTGATCCAAAAAAGTCGGGAAGGAACGCCTCATTGGGGGCCAGCGAGGCTTTATTTACACTTTTTTCTGGGCAAAAATACATATATGTGGGTGTGGGTGGGGATGCCCGGGAGTGCGTGGGGGCGAGGGTGCCTGCCTGCCTTCCCAGCCGCAGCGACCTGGTGTGTGCGCCTGGCGCTGCGTGTGAGTGTGCGAGTGTGGAGTGTGAGCCGGCTGCTGGCCCGCCGGCGGCCGCCCTCCGCCTCCCCCGCACACTCCGCGCATTGTTTGGGACTGTCGGGAAGACGCCTCGCACCTCACAAATCATTTAAGCGCCTCAGTTTGACGCCTGCAGTCATTAACAAAGTAATCCATTAATCTTCAAAGTTTTGACACCCGAGGGCCCCCATCCCAGCCACATAAGTTCTGCTAAGGCAGGAGGAAGGAGCAGAGGGAGAGGAGATGAGAGAGAGAGAGAGAGAGAGAGAGAGAGAGAGAGATCCATTTTGGGGTCCCCCCTCTTTTATTTCCCTTTTACTCCTCCGCCTTTTCCCAAACCGTTTCCTGGATCTCAGAACTGATCTCCTCTCTGCCCTAGTCTTCCTTCCTCTCTTTCCTTCTTTTCCTCTCCCCCCCTCCTCTCCTCTCCCCCTCCCTCCCTCTCCTCTGTCCACTTCTCCTCTCCCCCCACCCTCGCCGGCCCTCGCCCCCCTCCAAAAGCCCAGCTCGGAGTCCCGCGCCCCCAGACCCGACCCGGCCCATTGTTAGCTGGCTTTTCCGCGGCAGCTTTGCGTCTGGCTCCAGGGAAAGCGGAAAACGCGAGGCTGCTCTCCGAGCTTCCTGCGCCATCAACTTTTCAGGAGTGGCTCGAGAGATAGATGCATGTGCCAAGCGAGACAACAACCCCAGGTCCATGTGTTCAAATCCCTGTAGCCAGGGCGGCGGCCAGCCAAGGAAATGCTGCCCCGAGCAGCGCAGAGCAGCGCAGAGCAGCGCAGTGGTGTGCGGCTCCTGGCATTCTGGGTTTCATACCCGTAGGGCTCGGGCGCGGTGAGTATTTCCAGGAAGTCTGTGGGAAGTTAGCAGCAGCGAGGGAGAAGGTTATTGTACCTTTCCTTTCTTTCTTTCTTTCTTTCTTTCTTTCTTTCTTTCTTTCTTTCTTTCTTTCTTTCTTTCTTTCTTTCTTTCTTTCTTTCTTTCTCTTCCTTTCTTCCTTTCTGTTCCTTCCCTTCTTCTCCTTGGCGCTCTGATTGGGAGCGTGTTGGTTCAGAAGCAGTGAGTGCTCTAGCAGCCCAATTGTCTCCCACTCCTTGGCCACCAGGGATGTTTGCACTCGGGTTCTGTTATGGGAAACAGCACCGCAGGTGAGACAGGGCGACCCAGGGAAGAATTATACAGGTTCTCTTTCTCTGTTCATTCTCTCTCTCTCTTTTCCCCCCCAATTCGGGGATGTGAGACTGAGCGTATCTTGGACTGTGCTGGAGGGTTCAAAAGACAACACCTTTAGGTACCAAACAATAACTTTTTAGAAATCCACCAAGCCAGAAAGAAGGGAGGAGGCTGAGAGAAACTGGAAGGTATCTCTTTTCCCCCAAACCCTGAGGAGGAGGATTCGCCTTTGCTTCCTTTGAAATGGACCCAGTGATCAGACTCCCCCAGGCCAGCAGGCACCAGTGGCAGGAAAATAAATCATTCTGATGGCTGGGGAGAGAGAGGTTGGCGGGAGAGAAAACCCGATGTAGAAAACAAGCAGGGCCGAGCGAGGCGCAAGGAGAGGATTCCATCTGAGGCCGGCATCAAAGGGGGTTTGGGTTGGAAATTGATATAAAGTGCCCTCCATCGTTGACTAGCCCAGAGCATTGCCTTACAGATAGAGATGCTATTTTGGAAAATGTGAGGTTTTTCAGTTTTCTTGCTTTTATTCCAAACAAAGCTCTGAAGGAAGTCTGGGTGCGATCAATCTTGCTCACCAAAAGCCTTGACAGCTTCTGGCCCTTAAGAACACATTTCAGCTTCGAGCTCTTTCCAAGATCAAATGTGGCCCAGCAAAGAGGAGAGCAGGAAACGCAAGTAAACAAGGAAAACTAGTCTTTTAAAAGATATTTTTTGGCAGCGGAAGGAGTTATAAGGCTGCTTTTAGGAAAGTGCTTTTCGGAC